GGCCGCGTTTCCTGCTCGGCGAGAGCCCGGAGGGGACGCCGCGCTGCTGAATTCTCCAGGGCGCCTCGCAAACCTAGCACAACAGGCCTGTGGCAAAGCCGAAGGGGGAGGGGCCTCGGAGGAAGCAGGAAGGCACAAGGCCAGGGCTTTGGGGGTGGCCCGAAGGGGTCCGGCTGTCTGGGTGGGACTGCACTGGAGGGCTTGTTCCACGGAGCTCCCCCCAGGCCAGGGGCAAACAGCGGGCTGCTGAATTCTCCAGGGCGCCTCGCAAACCTAGCACAACAGGCCTGTGGCAAAGCCGAAGGGGGAGGGGCCTCGGAGGAAGCAGGAAGGCACAAGGCCAGGGCTTTGGGGGTGGCCCGAAGGGGTCCGGCTGTCTGGGTGGGACTGCACTGGAGGGCTTGTTCCACGGAGCTCCCCCCAGGCCAGGGGCAAACAGCGGCGCAGTGCGATGGGGGAAGGTGCATTAGCTCCGAGCCCCGCTGCTCTCGGCCCAATGAGCGGCTAGCGGGCGTCTGGACACCGGGTGGGCAGTTTCAGGCCCTAGTCCCAGGAGCAAACAGCGGCGTGGCGGGGGAAGGTGCCAGCCAGGCCCAGCCCCTCACAGGGAAAGGCCCCAAGCCATGTTCCCTGCCTTCCTGAGCCAGCTGGTCCCAGGGCCAGCATGGAGCCAGCGGCTCTAGGAGGGGAAAGGCTCCAGCAAGTGCCCTTGAATCAGGGCCTGAGCAGACCCTACGCCCATGGGAATGCCTGCCCTGGCGCTCCTGCCCCCCAGCTGGCAGTGCGAGCCACACAGGCGTCTCGCAAAGCCGGTGTCCTGAAGCCGGGTAAGGCGCTGGAGCAGAGCCTGGCTGAGCCTGCTCCCACGAGGCTGGCAGCAGGTCCCCCGGACCCCAGCCCTACCGCAGGACTCCATTCTGGATCCCCTCCGGCTCCCAGCACGGCCCTGCGCCAAGCGAGCGAGGCTGGCTGCAGCAGACCCACTGGGAGCCCCTGGGGGACGGGAGAGCCGCTGCTGGGGGCCTGGGTGAGGCCTCATTCCTGCACCAGTGTGATGAGCTCGCGGGACCAGGACTGACTGATGTTCACTGTGCTCTCCGGGCTCTGGGGAGGGACCCGCCACCCCACTGAGATCCAGGGAGGCCCGGTGGAATCGGAGCAGGACCCGGGGCCAGGAGCTGCCTACAGGAGAAGAGACGTGGCTGGGGTTGCCAGGTGTCCGGATTTCTACCGGACGGTCCGGCCTTTGCGCCCTCTGTCCTGCAGAAAAACTTAGAAAATCCCAGACATGTGCAATGTGC